GGCATTGGCGACTTTCGCTTTGATTTTATTTTAATTAATTTATTATATCGATGGCAAAGCCTTTGATGTCTGACTAATAACATTTTCTTGTGTACACAAAAGTATATATTTTGCATATTCATTATTATTTGGCGTTTATGCCATATCAGTGAAAAGTCCGAATACAGGCAACATTTTGTGATTGATCTTTTGCCGTGCTAATTTACTGGAATATTGTTTTAAACGGCAAACATAATTGCTAGCCATTATAGCCACATTTGAGTTCCATAAGCGGCTTAGGCTACATATCCAAAACAAAGGCTCAGAAGCTATGCAAACAACTCAAGCCAAAATAAATGAGTCTTTTGAGCCATATATGTATGCATATTTTTGTATATGTGTATCTCTATAGAAGTGTAAATGTATTCACATGCATATGAATATGCAACAGCGTGCGCCCACCACATTCAAAGGCATTCATAAATTACGAACACGACCCTAAGAGTCAACTGAAATAGATGTGGAAATCTATGCGAAATCGGGTCAACAGAATTGCATAGACGCAACAGACAACGGAAATTAAGTGCGAAAATCAAACGAAATTTATATGAAAAAAAAAAAAAAAAAACAAAAACTATTTAATAAAATTTAAAATGTTTAACGAACAACAAATACTCTATAAAATGTCAGTTTCTATTATATAAGCAAATGTAGATGCTCTTTTTTAAAGATTTTTTTAAATAGTTAACAAAATACCTAACAAAAATTAAAAAAAAAAAAATAAATAAATAAAATAAAAAAAAAAAAAATGGAAAATATTTGCGTTTAATTTACAATTATTTTTATACATTTGAAAAAGAAAATTGAATAAATTCATAAAAGGAATATTAAAAAATATATATTTTATATATTATAATATATATAAAATAACTTTATATATTATAATATTTTTACAGAAAATAGTTAGTATTGCTACAACAATATCGAAAATCTGTCTAAAAATGATTTTTAAGTTCCTCTGATACTGCTAACTCTATCCACAAAAAGTGAAATTTATCACTTAATATGCTTAGTAATAACATAATAATAATAACAATACAAACAAATAATGTAAATGAATAGAGTGTTACTCGGTTAAATTACTGTTAAGCTCACTAGCTTCCAAGGAGCTCTCTAGCCAGCCCATGGCCATTAAAAATACTAATAAGCCTTATGCGTATTTCAGTGTCGAATACAAATCAGATCGTGCTAATCAATTCGCAAACAAACAGCGGCGATCGCAATGACGAAATTAACTTTACTTTTATTATTTTACCTGATTTTTTGTTTTTTGTCTTTGCTTTGTTTGTGGTCTCTTTTTTTTTATAACAATTACGCAAGCAAATGCAACAGCAGCAAAAACCGCAACAACAACAACAACAACAACAGAAGCAGACACACGCCACAAGGTGCGTGGGAAGAAATTGTAAGAGAAGTAAAGACAAGAGTAGCTGAAATCAAAAGGAAAATCAAAGCAAACAAGAAAACAATAAAAGTAAACAGCAAAAGAAATATTACAAAATTACAACAACAACAACAAGAGCAACTCGATGACAACAAATTAGATGCAGCACACACAGAAATTAAATGAACAAAACAAAAAGCAAAAGCAAAAAAAAGGCAGAAAAAAGAAATGCAATTAAAATGCACAGCAACCTGTGCAGAGGACGTCGCAGGCACAGGTAGGGGCCAGGTGTGCTGCGAGGTGGGCCAGGCCGCGGCGCTCTGCGTTGGGAATAATTAAAACCAATTTTTATTTTTTTGCTGTGTGACACAAAACAAAAGCGAAAGTGTTGAAATATTTATGCAGAAAATGCACAAATAAAGAAACAACAGCAACAACAATGCGAACAACGCGAACAACAGCAAACGGCAAGTGTCACCAGCAACAACAACGACAACGACAACGAAAACGATATACAATTGCAGCAGCAGCAACAACAACAACAGCAGCAACACGAATTTTAATTCGCATTTTTATTAGCAGCAACGCGCATAGTGTGAAGATTTCTATATCAGCGAGGGCTGCCACAATAGTTTGTAAATGTCTGTTTAAGATTTTTGCTTAATGAATAATTGAGGTGATTTAATGTTGATTTAAATTAAAAAACTATAAATTAAGAATTTTTTATAATTTGATTTTGATTTTGGATTTATTTAGGCACAGAAAGTAAGTCCTAAGTGAAATAAAAGCTCGACAATGTTTCACGATAAGAGTATGAAATAGTCTATATGATATATATTCTTTCTCTATCTCTCCTTCTCACTCTCTTTCTCTCTCTCTCCCTCCCTCTCCCTCTCACTCTATTTATATATACATATAGCAAACCACTTTTACCTAATTACATCCTCTTCATATATTTTATGTCTCAACAAGCCCTCTTTCAATGTTCCAAATTCTGGTTAAATATTTAACTAGACAAACTCTTTATGTCAACCATCCGTGTGTTTGCTGGCATTTTTAACAAGTCTTGAATTGTGTGACTAATTTTTGCCTCTATTTCAATTGTTGTTGTTGCTGCTGTTGCTGCTGTTACGGCGCATGCGCCACCGCCAGCAATTATTGTTGCTGTTTGTCTGCCAAATGTCTGCCCAACGGCTCAGACTCTCAGCCGGCTGCAGTTTTAGTTGTTGCTGTTGTCATTTGGAAGTAATTAAAATGGAAATTGCATTCGCTGCTGGCCAGACGAACAATGCGATGTGCTATGTGCAAGTGTTCGCATAACGAACGAACACTGAGGATGCTGCCAGAGTGGAGTGGTTGGCAGAAGGCAGAAGGCAGGAGGCAGGAGGAGCAATTCACAGCCGTTGGCTCAGTTAAATGCGCTAATAACTTTATTCAGTTGTTGTCGGTGTTGTTGCTGCTGTTGCTGCTGATAGATATCAGAGGCAAAATGTTGCAATGCCAACAGCAGCAGACAGCTACAACACAGCTCGAAGACAATCGCACGGAAATTGCAAATGAAGTTGTTGCTGTTGCTGCTGTTGTCGCTTATTATCAAACATTACATTTATTGCCGGCAACAATGGAATAAGTCAACTTTTATGCGGCAACTAAATAAATTTATACGTCACTATCCACGCGAAAGTTCAGGCGTGCGAAGGGCACTCAAAGTGCTTATCTAATGCACACAAACACTTTCAATTGTACAACAGCAACAGCAACAATGGCAATGACACTGAAGAGCAGCAGCAAAAATTATCGCATTTTCATGACGCTTTAATTTTGTTTCCAGTGTAAACAAATGTCATAAACGAAAGAGACAGACCTGGTTCAACAACAAATAAACAAAATAAAGAGCCTTGTTGTTGCTGGCATTTAAAGTTTTTGTTACTAAATGTGGCAATCGAATTGGTTTTTACTTGCCATAAAATTCGAGCCTCATTTAGTTTTATGCAACTCTCAATTGAGATGCGAAAGCAATTCGGGTCAACGCTGCGTAATAAACACAACGATTCCACAGCTGCAGATCCACAACTAAAAGAATAGTGATAAAGCAACTGGAAAATATCCAAACTAAATGCCATTGAAAAGTAATTTCTTTAAAATGTTCACGTGTAATTAGAATTATTAAAAAAAAAAAAAAAAGTTTTTTTTAACGTGCTTATGAATAATCAGAATTTGTAATCTGATAACAATCAAAACAAACTCAGCTGAAAGAAACGAATTAGAAATTCTTTGGAATTCGTTTGAATAGCTGTTCTTTAAGCGCCCCCCTCAACAGTCGTGCTCCATTATATTGATCAAAGCTCTATGTGTCTGTGTGTGTGTGTGTGTGTTTGTTCTTTTTTGAATAAGTTTAATTAAATGCTACGTTCGGTCTCTGTCTTTGGCTCTGGCTCTCGCTAGCTCTCGCTGACTTCGGCAATCAACAGGCCATTTGTTGTTAACGGTCTCTGGCCATTTTTGTTGTCTTGAGGGAGGAGGGAGCTGGCCCAGAACATGTGTATCACAGCCATAAAGCGTTCTATGACATGCCCGCTAGCACTGTTCAAGAATTATTTATTAATAAACATAAAGCAACAACAATAACAACAATAACAACAATAATAATATATACAATATAGCCCCTGACGGCATGCCAATTAAAATTCAAGACGCATCGCCGCTTAATGTCATAATTATGAGCCAACTAAAGAGATTTACGCATTTTGTTTCACAACTTGGCCAAAAATGTTTTCGCCCGAAACACAGCTCAAGCAAGAGACGAAAAAAAAGTTTTTGCTTGCCATCGATTATATTATATTATATATATATATTATATATATATACATATAGATATTTATATCTCTTGTGCAGAAAGCAGCTGGAAACTTTGGCACGTCAGCTGCGAGGCGTGAAAACAACAGCAAAGAAATATATATTTGTATATATTGCATATTTGTATAAATATTAATAATTCAAGCGTCACGTAGCGGAAATATCTAAATTTAATTAACCAAATTAGCTGCGAAATTAATCAAACAGTATTTATGAAACGAATTTCGATTAATGCTTAGCACGACAAGTAAAAGTGCTCAAGACTTGGACATACCTGCAGAATGAGTATGACGACGCATTGGCATTACAGACTTCTATGATGCGGCTGTGATTTGTTTCCCTCCCGAGATGTCTCATTGGATACATTTGTTTCAGCTTTTGCCAGTAGCATTTCCGCATTGAAACTGAAAAATTAGAGGATACATCATATAATGACAGATTTAATAACCCTCACAACCCTTACAGATGTCCGAGAGCAGCAGCAAATAAAATTGTATACAAAAATCTACTGATTACTCATTTGTTCGTTTGAGTCATTTATATAGCATTTTACAAATCTGTTTGTTTCAGTTATATACATATAATACATCTACATAACAGCCTTCACATGTCATGCATTTCCCAATGTTAAATATATAAACAAGACTGAACAACTTCGACATTAGATTATCGATCAGAATGTTATAAAAAAAAAAGTCTGTTTGAAAAGAACTGTTCTGTGTTACATCAAATATCAATTCAGAAGATTTTATTGCCTTTTTTTAGACTCTTTACTTTAAAAAAAAATTAGGAACAAAAAAAGAAAAAAAGAAAAGAAACTGCTTACAAAAGCTTTCATATATCTTTGTTCGTATCGTTAGATCAGCTGTGTTTTCATACGCATAAAATAGGTCACGATCCATTTGACCTCGCCTTCACAGGTACATTTGACCTTATAGTAGCCCTCGGCCATTATTTCCGGTAAATTTCCTTGGTCGAAATTGCACATTTTGAACGTGTAAATATTCCTCGGCCATGGCCATAATATATCTCCCTCGATTTTTGGCATATTGGAACAATCCTTCATAACAGGATATACAATATCATCATACAGCCTTTTTAAATCTATGAGCCGTTGCTTCGGTACGGCCATGGGAAGTGGTTTGAAGTCGTTTTCACCGCCGGTGACACTACGCAGGATCTGCACCTCAAACTTATTAAATATATTTTCATTATAACTATGTAATAAGTCATACTTTGAAAGATATCCTACCATAGTTGTATTGTCAAAATCGTATCGGAGGTCTATGGTGCCTGATATACCAACTTGGTGTCGACCACGTCTCTCAATATATACATCAAATTTTATTTTAGTCTCATCTTCGGATTCGCTATGATATCCTAGGATATCATAAGTCCAAAGCCGCTGAAAAAGGGTATTCAGATTAAGCTTTTGAATAAATTGTTAATATAGATATCCTATACTGACCTTACACTCACAACACACAAGGATGGCTAGAAGGAACAACAGATTACAGCAGATCATTTTGTTGCAGCAGAACGTGAATAAATAACTGTTCTGTGATCTGTTTGTGCACAGCCTTTTTATAGCATCTGTGTTACTTAGATTATCTCAACTGTTATGACACCCTAACATAAATACCATACACACGTCAACGACATGTTTTTATACCCTGAACCCATTGAAAATGGGAAATCTGGGTATAATGGTTTTGTGAAGTGAAACGATACAGCCCTATCCGTCCCTCCGTCCGTCCGTATGAGAAGAAGTTATAAGAGCTAGAGAGCTGCAATTTGGCATGCATACTCGAGTGTACCATACGCAGCACACGTTTATCATATTTTTTCGATAGCTCATCCGATAACTTTTTCATCGAGAGTAATCGAAAAATTGATTTGAACACTTTATGTTTATACATACGTGTGGATGCATGTGTAGAATATCAGCTTAGAGGGTTCAGGGTATCTCCTAGTCGAGCAGTCTCGACTAGAGCCTTCTTATTTGTTTATAATTAGACATCATAATATTAACAACTTAATGGCATTGGTTAGAGATAAATTTTACTTTTTATTAACCTTGAACTCTTGAAACGGAAAATCAGTATCTTCATTGCCAAAAAACAACGTTTTTTCTGTTCTCAATCATTTCTTGCCTTCAGAAGATATAACTATTTAAAGTTTTTCATTATGCAACAAGGCTTTTATAGAACCTTTGCTGATTGGCTTATCTCAGTCTACATAATAATAAGCTTTCACACGCCAAAAACATGTTTAATTATCAGGCGCACTTATCGAAATAAGAACAATTATTTAATTGATATGGTGATATACCCTAAACCCATTGAAAATGGGAAAGTTATAAGAGCTCGAGAAATTTGGCATGCATACTCGTATGTACAATACGCAGTAGTAGTAGTTTATATAATGGTAATTTAAGCTCGTTTGCCGATATCTTTCAGATTATATGTACGATAGTATTATAAATAAATATAATATGATTCAAAAATATATAAATTTCATTTTGAAACGATTCTGTTGCATTACAGTATAAGTTAAACTGTATATAAATTTTACTATGATAATGAGTTATAGCGCCGTCTGTTGGCTTGAAGTGAGGAGCTGGAAAAATTCAAAATAAAATTCACATTTATAATGCTTTAAAACTTCAGATCCTTGCCTTTATACTTTAGACTTTGCTGAGAAGCCTTATATGATTTGTTTCTTCTCTGCTATTAACTACAAAAATAAATAAATTTTTATAAATTGAATACTATTATAATTATTTTTATTTTATTTTTTTATTTAAAATATAATTAATTCAAGTGAATTTAGTAAGATTTATACTTTATTTGTGCATTTTCTAAGGACTTGGCTCAGAGAAGCTTTGGTCTTACATAAAAAATAAAAGTCACATTCCAGTTTACCTCGCCGAAAAATGCAAACACAGTCTTATACGTGCCTTCAGCTACTACTTCCGGTAGAACACCTTTGTGGAAATTACAATTGTTAAACGTGTACAAATTCCTGGGCCATGGTATCAAATAGTCGCCTTCGATTTGGGGCAAATTTGAGCAATCTTTCAAGTTGATATAAATGATATCGTCGTATAAGGTCTTGTAGTCCTTAAAGTATTTATTTGAAATCGAAAATGGCATGGGACGATAGTCGTTGCCGTTGGCACTGCGATAGAACCCTAATTCAAACTGATACGTTTGCAATGTTATGATATGATATATATTCAATATTAAATGGAGTTCTGATTTTATGATATCCTACCATCGCTTCATTGTCCGCATCGAAATTCCAATCCACGGTGCCCGAGAATCCAACAAGATCGCGACCCACTCGGTTCACATATAGATTCAGTTTGACTTTGCTCTCATCTGAGCTGTATACATGGGCCTCTAAGAGTTCGTGCTCCCACATACGCTGGCAGAGTATCCTGATTAGATGCAGAGCTTGAATAGCATTTGCTTTATACACATACCTTGCAGCCACAGTCGTTGAGAATAGCCAAGAGCAGCATCAGCAATGGATTAACAAACCTCATTTTATATTTGCCAAAAAGAAAAAAAAAGAATAACTCTTTAGTCTTCGGTGGATTCACACCCCTTTTATAGCACCTGTGCTGAGCTGTGCTCAGCTTATCTAATGCCGTCACACGCGAACTGCTTGTTGAATAATTAGGGACCCGGATCAGTGCACTGACAACAATTATTAAATTTATCGCTGCTATAGCTAATGATTATAAATTGGACATTGGTACAAATAATATTTACTAATTAAGCGGCTCTTTAAGTCTTCCACTGCATACAATCGCGCGCGCGGGGCAGCGCACAATGGGCCGTTATTAATTGAAATGTACAATGGGCCAATGGGGCATTTGCAGCTGGCTTAAAAAAGGTAGAAAGCCAATTGACCTGCTGATTATGTCGCACGGAAATTTAATCAAATGAAAGCTAGAGGCAATTATGCTTTAAATACAATTAATTAATCATGAAAACACAAACAAACACACACACTCACACACACGTGCACTCTCACTGTTATTTATCCACATCGACTATGCTGTTATTTCATGCATACAGTAAAGTTTTATTTCTGTTGTTGTTGTTGTTGTTGTCCTGGCTGATGCGGCCAGTGGGCCACTGCCGCAATATTAACATATCCTGCGTGTTTAAGTAACGCATAAAATTATATCCTGATTGAATTGACCAGCATGGAGTCGCCTGCGCACGTAAAATATGCGAATTCCAATAAAGTTGGCAAGGATTTTTATACCCTATACCCATTATGAGTTGGCTGCACTGGGGTAGATTGACTGTTGTGTGAGATGAATCAGAATGAACAGTTAGTTAGTTAACCATTTTTGTTACACCGCTTACAGTTTGTCTTACTCAGGCGTAGCATATCCGTTGGTCGTGCATACCCGGCTGTGCTCATTTTTGTCGGCAACACAGTTCGCCAGCTTTTAGCTTTGTGCAGCGGACATTTGCCGGGCTGCCCAGAGCAGCCGAAACTCTGCTCTTGCACCTCGTCTGTCGCCGCGTTAAAATGCGCGCCCACGCACATAAATCACGTGCGTGAATCTCTGCAGCTGTGTATGGCGACTGCATGTGTGTGTGTCTGTGTGTGTGTGCTTTGTATGGGCATTCCGGCAACTGTTGGCAAACGGAAAATCAGCAGACCCAGCTTCTGTCTCTCTGTGTGTGTGTGTGTGTGTGTGTGTGTGTGCTGTGTATTAACGGCCTATCGGCTGCTGCATATCCGGCTGGACACCGGCTTCAGTTTTATTATTATTATTGTTGTTCCTGCTGTTGTTGTTGTTGTTGCTGTTACTGTTGTTAGCGTTGCTGTCGCAGTTGCTGCTGTGCACACGTGTCAATGACAGCGGAGGACACATTTTCAGTGTCGTGTTTAATTAGACTGCCCCCAAGGTGCACAGCGAGCACCATTTGCACAGCGCCCGTTATTCATGGCACTTGCCCTGGCGCAGCATATTGTGCGCGCATAAACACTCGAACACCCTGTAGTGAGGTATTCGAAATTGAGTATGATGTTTGTCAATAATATGAAGGAGCAACTGTATGATTTTTGTACACTTTTCTTTAGTTTTGAAGCCAATTAAAACCTGAATCTTATTTAAATGCATTTCAAATCGGTTTTTAATTTTCATAACACACTGCAAAAAAAAAAAATATTTATAGACAACTTCACCTTAGTTAAAGTAAAATGTTGAATTTATTTGATATAAATTGTGTTTTAATTGAAAACTTCTATTTAAATTTATATATAATCATATTTTAAAAAATTTTTTAATTAATTTTCGAGCTAAGTTTGCTCAATAATTGCTTAAAAATAACCAATAATAATTAAACTAACCAAATATAGAATTCAAAATAGAGTAGCTTAGCTTCTACTCTTCTCAATCAACTTTTTTTTACATACTTAAGTCTTTATAGCCTGTGTTGAAGAGCAGCTGATAGACAGTGGGTCTTCAGGTACGTAAATATTTGATATATGTGGCATGGCAATATCATCAAACATATATATATTTTAATAGTATGGGTTAACGCGCGATTTCACAGCAATTAAGTGCTCTTTGTACCTGTCAGGCACTGCAGTGCACTGCACTTTTCGCAGTTTACATAGTTTTGCCACCTGTTTGACTTTGATTTACCGTTGCGTGTGCTACCAATTATTATTAAACTAACTAACAAAATGTGTTGGCTTCAATGGGCGTGGGCCTTATGCCTTAATTATGAATTACATGGATGTAAGTGGCGTGATTTGTTTGGCTAACGCCTCGGGCGTTGCGCATACGTCGCGTGTGCCAATTGGCTTTAAACTGCACAATTTTGTATTTGAATTAACGTTGCTATTGTGTGCTTTCATTTTTTTTTTTCGTTCGTTTCTGTATTTTGCCTTGGCCGTGCGGCACTCAGTGGAGCTGCAATTTCTTATCATTTAAAACGCATAAGTGTCTGACAGGCCTAGCCGACGCTTATGACCGCTTAAAGCCTTATGGAGTGGGCATAAAAATGTTTGCCAGACTGGGAAACAGACGCACAACGTAATCCCAGAGTCAAGAGAGATGTTCGCCGCAATGCACAGCAACATCGTTGACACACACACACACACACACACACACACACACACACACACACACACACACAGACGCACACGCAGTTTCAATCTACAGTTCCCAAGACTCTACCCAATACCCTATTCATATATGCCATATGACATTCGAGAATGAGTTGCCTATGCCTCTGGCTCTGGCTCTGGCTCTGGCTCGGTCGGTGCTCTGTCATATGCGCAAATTAGTCGTTAGTCGACGTTTGGAACTGACGACGCGATGCGCGAGTTTAATGACTTTGGCGTTAGACGATGTTGTTGTTGTTGTTGCTGATGTTGTTGTTGTTGCTGAGGTTGCTGATGAGGCGCACGATAATGGGCTATGATGGTCGCGTTCTTGTCAAAGTCAACGCAAAATGGCAACATCAACCGGCATGGCAGTCAGTGGAGAGAGAGAGAGAGAGTGGGAGAGAGGGAGAGAGGGAGAGCAAGGGGCAGAGTAGGCGAATGTGTCGTGTGGGTTGGTCTGTTGGGCAAAGGTCTAAGCATCGCCGGCAGCTGGGCAACCAGCAATATCATGCACTTCAATGCACCAGCACAGTTCCGGTAAAGTTGATACCCTGTGCGCATTAAACTGCCAGAGAAGTTGCTTAACTATAATTGAGCGAAGAGTCGGGTCGAGTCTACTTGAGTTTTCTCTTGAGTTTCATATACAGATTAAAGTCTGTCACGCTACGAAACCATATCACCTCTCTATAGCTTTACATAAGAGTAAGTTTCTTATTTATAATGTGACTCTGTTTTAGTAAGCACTTCACTTACCCACATACATTCATTCGCTTTACACAGTATCTTCAAATCTAAGCCTTTTCGAGACTGCGCTGCTTGCATAGTCCGCTTATTTGCCTATTTGTCTGGCTGTGTGCGTCTAGAAGCATAAATGTAGCATAATTAGCATGTCGCTAGATTTTGCTCTCTCTCTCTCAGTCTACCCCTTACACTCTCCCTCTCTCTTACACTGCAACACTCACACGCACATGGCAAGCTTTCGACATATTGTCAACGTTTATGCTTATGGGTTCCTTGACTCGACTCGACTCGACCCAACTTCATATACTGTCTTTGGCTTTACAATTGCAGTCGAGGTAATAGTTGCAGTCGCAGTTGCAGTTGCAGTGGCAGACCCAGACGCAGCTTTAGTTCATTTAGTTTCACTTTGCCAACCAATTGCCAAGCAGGTGAAGCTTCATACATTTCCTTCCCTCTCTCTTTCCCTTTCACAATACGCAATCAGCTTTGCCTACTTTACAGCAGTCACTGTACCTCTACCTCTCTCTCTCACTCTTTCTCTTTAAATGATGGCAAGTTTTTCATCTTCTAATGAGCTTCTAATGTTTGCAGCAACTGCAACAGCGCCTATTTATATTTGAGCAACAAGCATCATAATCTAATCTTTGACATCGTTTTGCTGCGGCCGCCAACTCTATTAACTTGGCTAATTGACACTTGTGCGTCCACCATTAAATGCACGCCTCGCTACATCGCTATCAAAAATGTTTTGACTTCACTTTCTTTGGTCAAAAACTAAACCAAATCTTTGCTCATGTAATTGATGCTGCTGTTGCTATTGCTGTTGCATTTACTGTATCTGGACCAACTTTGGAATTGCAGTTTCACTTTCTATGCAGCGGCCAAGTTGCCGGGGCGACACTTGCTATGAAAGTGAATTTTTTCGTTTGCTTGTTGTTATATACCCTGTTTAAACTGGCATTGGCCAGAGTGGGTGTCATGCCAAGCTTCACCTTGAAGTTTGTTATTATAAATATCATCAGAAATTGGGTTTCCCAAGATGAAGAACTGAAGGAAGTGACTTGGTTGTTATGCACATATCTTTCAGCATATATACCATATATACCTATATATATACCTATATATATACCCATATATAGTCTCTCCATATTCATTATTATCTACATTCGCATCTGCACTAATCTCAATCTCGCTCTATATAATCATGAATATGTATTTAATTAGCTCACAGCTGTCTAGGCTGGGCATCCTTAAGTTGCGCATGCCCCACAGCAGCACCCTCACTTATTTCATTTATATATTTGTGTTTTCAGTTTTCAGTTTTAGTTTTTTTTTTTTTTTTTTTGCTTGCAAGTTGAAGTGTCGTTAACCCAATTTGAAAGCATTTGGCCAAGCGCCATGCAAATGCAACTTTGGTGTCTCGCTTTTTGGCATTGTGGCACGGAGACAGGTGGCAACTTTTGCTTTCGCTGGCCAAAGCCAAAGCAGCAACAGCAAATGCAGCAGCAGCAGCAGCAGCAATGCGTGCCTTGGCGCAAAACGAAACCAGTTCAAAAGTTTGTTAACAGTTAATCCGTGTCGAGGCAGCAATTGCTGCTGCAGTTGTTGCTGTTGTAGATGTTGCTGCTGTTGATTTCATCTATTTTCAATCGATTGCAGCATAGCTGACTCAACCACAGATTACAGTTATTGTTTGTTGTTGCTGTTTGTTGTTCATAGTTGTCGTCGTCGTTGTCGTTGTTGTCGTTGTTGTCGTTGTTGCTGTTGCTGCTGCTGCTATCTAATGATGT